TTAGATGTATTTGTTCCATTGGTTACCTTGTTTCATTAGATGTTTCATTGGTTACCTTGTTTCATTACAATGGTTACCTTGTTTCATTGGTTACCTTGTTTCATATTTGTTCCATTGGTTACCTTGTTTCATTAGATGTATTTGTTTATTGGTTACCTTGTTTCATTGGTTAGATGGTTACCTTTGTACCATTGGTTACCTTGTTTCATTAGATGTATTTGTTCCATTGGTTACCTTGTTTCATTAGATGTATTTGTTCTATTGGTTACCTTGTTTCATTGGTTACAATGGTTACCTTGTTTCACCTTGGTTACCTTGTTTCATTGGATGTATTTGTTCCATTGGTTACCTTGTTTCATTAGATATATTTGTACCTTGTTTCATTGGTTATTGGTTACCTTGTTTCATTGGATGTATTTGTTCCATTGGTTACCTTGTTTCATTAGATGTATTTGTTCCATTGGTTACCTTGTTTCATTAGATGTATTTGTTCCATTGGTTACCTTGTTTCATTAGATGTATTTGTTCTATTGGTTACCTTGTTTCATTGGTTACAATGGTTACCTTGTTCCATTGGTTACCTTGTTTCATTGGATGTATTTGTTCCATTGGTTACCTTGTTTCATTAGATGTATTTGTTTCATTGGTTACCTTGTTTCATTGGTTACAATGGTTACCTTGTGTCATTGGTTACCTTGTTTCATTGGATGTATTTTTTCATTGGTTACCTTGTTTCATTGGATGAATTTTTCCATTGGCTACCTTGTTTCATTAGATGTATTTGTTCTATTGGTTACCTTGTTTCATTGGTTACAGTGGTTACCTTGTGCCATTGGTTACCTTATTTCATTAGATGTATTTGTTTCATTGGTTGCCTTGTTTCATTAGATGCATTTGTTCCATTGGTTACCTTGTTTCATTAGATGTATTTGTTCCATTGGTTACCTTGTTTCATTAGATGTATTTGTTCCATTGGTTACCTTGTTTCATTAGATGTATTTGTTCTATTGGTTACCTTGTTTCATTGGTTACAATGGTTACCTTGTACCATTGGTTACCTTGTTTCATTGGATGTATTTGTTCCATTGGTTACCTTGTTTCATTAGATGTATTTGTTCTATTGGTTACCTTGTTTCATTGGTTACAATGGTTACCTTGTTTCATTGGTTACAATGGTTACCTTGTTTCATTGGATGTATTTGTTCCATTGGTTACCTTGTTTCATTAGATATATTTGTTCTATTGGTTACCTTGTTTCATTGGTTACAATGGTTACCTTGTTCCATTGGTTACCTTGTTTCATTGGATGTATTTGTTCCATTGGTTACCTTGTTTCATTGGTTACAATAGTTACCTTGTTCCATTGGTTACCTTGTTTCATTGGATGTATTTGTTCCATTGGTTGACCTTGTTCCATTGGATGCATTTGTTTATTGGTTCCATTGACTACATTTGTTTTATATATTACGTTGGTTTCACAAAGTATAAGATATGATTTTAAAATCCCAAACAGGAAATATGCAAATAAGGCTAATTCTTATTCCTTTCTTTACTTCTTGAGATCAATTCTGAAATTATGCTGATCCTGTTGGCCACAAAGGGCGATTACTCTGTCCTTTCCGAATGTAATAATGTTCTTCAGTTATACAGAAAAGTACGTTTATAACGAACACGCTCACAGCGAAATAACGGATATAACGAACTGGGTTGTTCTTCGTGCCACCCACTTATTTTGGTTGAAAAGCGTATAGGGAACTATGGTTATAACGAACTCAAATTCACGGTCACTTTGAGTTCGTTATAACCGAATTGCACAGATGTTCCGTTATGTTTGTCCTGATTACGAGGTAACCGAAATAACGGGGTCCACTAGTGTTGAAAAAGTGTCTCCTTAGGGTTTGGGGTTGTGAGGTAGCCTGGGGATTAAAGCTTTCGCTCGTCACGCCGAAGACCCGGGTTCTTGTACATTGGTTTAATGTGTGAAGCCATTTCTGGTGTCCCCTGACGTGATATTGTTGGAATATTGCTAAAAGCGGCATAACCTACTCACTTTTTAGGGTTTAACGTTGAAGCAAATGTTCTCGGAAACGTTTCCGACTCTGAAATATTGGAAGCTACAGAGGGTTGTGTTTCAGTTACGAGTCTGTTCAGTTTCCAGTTGTGCTCATCTGCAAAATGACCCAGGTCAGGAAATCACCCCGGGCTCGCATGTAATTGAAAATATTACTCTGATTTCAGGCATTAAATTTACTATTTTTGCTTTAAAGGCAATGATCCTTTGTATATTCTAAACCCGTTTTGCAACATTATCTCACCAACGTCAATATCAGGGACGTGTCCTTTCTTATACTTACATATTATTCTAAATACTGAAATACTATATTCATTTTGCTCTTTATGGCAAACCAGTTTCTCATATGATTCGAGGATCCAAATAGCCTCTGGCCTTTTTGAATTTCCTGACATAAAAATCAATTTCCTTTTTACGATATTGTGCGTTTAATCCCCTGCCTCTAATAAAACTGGGAGCAGGTTTTGCCTGGAACCTAACTAATACGTCTAGGTTTGTCGGAACGTTTCGGTATGAGTCGCTGTGAACAATAATGTATTGTTACCGAGAAAATCCCACTGCTCCGGGAGCGGTCATTTCTGCTTTTTAGTCACGATTAACAAAGATTACTCCCGGGAGATCGATACGATCAGAACTGCGAATTTTCCCTTAGATATCACGCCCATAAGGTCATAGTTCAGTGGAGTGGGAAAAGGATCGCAGAGACGGATTACGAAGGCGAGAATCAAAATGGCCGGTGGCTCTAAAACTGGACACTCTTGAGAAAGATGGCGACCAAAGGATTGTGTCCTTAATCTGATCCGTGGGTAATCTCCCCTAGCGGCGTTTCGAGCGATTACTGTACGAGCCAGAAGGGCCAATGTCTCGAGTTTAAATAACTTTTGACTCAACGTAAAAACACTGGCATCACGTATAGGCGTTGTGTCTGTTGACGTGCCGGACCTGATCTCAGAGGCGGTTCCAAGACTGGCTCTTTCCCCAGATGGAACAAACTCAGAAATAAACTTAGCCGAGATGTGATCGCTGAACAAACAATGGCGTTTAGTTTAGCATTGGAGGCGTCTGTGTCTCAAGATTCTTGGATTTCCTTTTAAGAGCAGAATATTTTTGTTTGCCCAATTTAAGCTGGGAAACTATTTTTTTGCATTCATTACAAGCCGAGACTGATATTTGCCAGAGTATCTAATTTAGCCGAAAGTGGAACCAAATGTTTTCGTTGGTACAATATGAGTAATCGTTTATGAGACTCCTCAGTAAGGCAGCATGACAGCTTTGGCATTGCGGACTGTGAATGAGACACCGGATACGTGCATCCAGTGACATGTCAGCAATATATCTCCAGGGACACCAAGAACTGTGGAAACTGAAAGTGAATTTCAGGTTCATTGGATTCAACAACTGGTAGAATATGGCCCGTAAGTAGGTCACTAAACTTCGCGAGACCTTAGTACTTTCGGTGACAGTAAGGGGCCGCTAATCCTTGCAGGAATAATAAATTTCAGATCTATCCATTCCCCAATTAGCCAACTATTACGACTGTCAACAGCCATGGTTGTACACCTGGCACATTCTAGTAAAGCCATATTTGGTGATCGCGCAATTTGGAACCAGAACTCTTTCTTGAATATACGCTTGTCATCGGAAATCTGGTACAGGAAGTAAGCTGGACCCAGTCTCGCATATCGCAAGTTAGCGCGCGCAAAGGGAGACGGGAACCAGCTTAGTACCGGAAGTGGCGCCTCACGAGACTTACAAGCCCTGAACTTTCAATTTGGATAGGCGTTAACAAACTTTTCAAAGACAAACATCATATGAACGCACCACCATTTCTCTTTATCACCACTCCTAAACACAACGCATGGAATGCACGTGCAGAACGCAGTAGCTCCATACACGTGCATGGAGTGTCATTTTCTTGATTTTGACAGCTTTCAAGAAGGTCGATAAATCACTGAAGACCATTAATTTTGACAATCATCTTGCATCACACAGTTGTTAGTGTTTGTTTCAAGCCGGGTTTTTTTCTGTTTGAAAGTGAAAATCGTACGCATGCAAATTTCACGTCATACACCAATCATCTTTCAAGAGCGACCCGTGAAGGTCCGGGTTAGAACAGATCTTCAGTAACCCATGCTTGTCGTAAGAGGCGACTGACGGGATCGGGTGGTCAGGTTCAGTGACTTGGTATAACAAGCGTAAAGCTGGTTACAACTGTTCTGTGTCCTGAATACAAGAGGCGACTGACGGGATCGGGTGGTCAGGCTCGCTGACCTGGTTGACACGTGTCATTGTATCCCAATTGCTCAGTCGATGCTCATGCTGTTGATCACTCGATTGTCTGGTCCAGACTCCATTATTTACAGACCGCCGCCATATAGCTGGAATATTGCTCAGTGTGGCGTAAAACTAAACTCACTCACTCACTCTTTCAAGAGGTGATGCACTCTCTAAACATTCATTATTATCATATCAACATTGACTGACTCCGATATATCTCCCAATGTTTTCAATCGTAAATTAAAAATGAAGTTCCATCTTTTTTAAGAGTATATATGACCAGTCCCAAAATTTCGGGTATCCGAGTTATTTATCATTACACTGAACGCAATCCGGTTTAAAGTTACTAGGAAGGGAACTATTGGGTCGAGTGATCAATACGTCTGCATCTGGTTCGGGTTCGAGCCCCAGCTGCACCCCAATTATGTCCCATGGACTGTCTGCACCCATTATTGGTGACATACTGACGGGTTTAACATGATTGTTAAAGCTTCAACCTCTGTCACTTCGGGCTTTCCCACATTAAGTTAACACACGGTATGTATGAAATACATGTCGGTTCAAACCCATTTACCCACAATAACGAAATAATGATAATGATATATGCATTGTGTAGCACAGTAGTATGTTCTGTGCGCTACTCAGACAAGGTGATTTTTAGAAAATGTCTTTTGAAAGAAATGTTTTTTATATCATCTAATGGAGGGTGTTATCGGTGCAATAAAGCAATCTGATAAACTCGGTATCCAACTATGCAAATTACGTCAATCCACGAACTACTTTCACAAAACTCTATACACGATATGCGAATCCTAAAACTGATATTGATGAGGTGACCCGCAATGAAAATAAAAACACTGCCAAGAAAATCCTGCCCGATTTTGTTGTTCTTTTTTAGACAGAAAGATCTTATTTTAAGCATGAGTTATGTTTGCACTGTATTAGACTAGTCAAACCATTTGGCGCCGTCATGAACGACCTTCACCTTGGTGTACCGCTAAGTATTCCTACGCGAATGTTCGGTTCTCTTCATATATACTGAACATCATTGAAAAAGCACCACCTGTAAATTTTGAAATATGGTAATAGGATTGTTTTGAGAGTGAAAATGAACTTTGGAAATGTTGTTAATAACACAAAAGACAATAAATAATGTTGTACAGTAAAGAACGGATTGCCCGAACACATCATGGAACACATCACATGACAACAACAAAATTCATGCACAACACACACGAAAAGCACAAATTGCATGCGTAAAACATGCTGATTAGGGGTATAAATGACCGTCGGCAAAAAACCGTTTTCATTTTATCTGTACCTTTGCAAGTAAAGTTTATTTTGCAATGCCAAGATTGCCACCAGAGGAACGAGAACGGGCGTTGGGCATGTTGCAGGTTGGCACATCAAGCAGGCTTATTGCCAGACGCTTTGGTTGCCATCATTCCACCATCATAAGATTTGCCAATAGGTACCAACAAACAGGAACCACCAGGGACCGCCAACGTCCTGGCCAGCCACGTGTTACCACTCCTCGCCAAGATCGAGACATTGTTCGGCGCCATATTCGGGATCGTACGTTGCCGGCTGCCAGAACCGTCAACGCTGTCCAAGGCCGACGTGGTTTAATTAGTGCTTCCACCGTCCGACGCCGTCTCCGTGCGGCAGGATTACGGTGTCGACGCCCTTATGTTGGACCCATCCTGACTGATAGACACCGCCGTGAACGCCGACTATGGGCTGAACAGCATCGTTTGTGGTTGTTACGACGTTGGCATGGCGTTGTGTTCTCCGACGAGTCACGTTTTCACTTGCGAAATGCTTACGGGCGTCTACGGGTATGGCGTCGACGGGGAGAACGTTACCATCAGGACTGTGTTGTGCAAACAGATCGGTAGAGTGGAGGCAGCATTATGGTGTGGGGAGGGTTCAGTTATCATCATAAAACCGCTCTGGTAGTTTGTCGTGGCAGAGTGAATGCCCTTTACTACCGTGACGCCATTCTTCAGAACAACGTCGTTCCCTTCTTTAACCAACATCAAGATCTGCACACATTCCAGCAGGACAATGCTCGAGCGCACACTGCACGTGTTGCAACACAGTTTCTGACAAACAACAACATCCCTCTACTTCCATGGCCTGCATTGTCACCAGATTTGTCTCCCATTGAACACTTATGGGATTACATCGGCCAACGCCTCTCACGTCGCCCACAGATCAACAACCTTGGGGAACTTGAGAATGCCTTGCAACAAGAGTGCCTCAAAACATTATTCAGAGACTTATCAGTTCAATGAGGAGACGTTGCACAGCTTTTGTTGCTGCTAACGGTGGTCATACACGTTACTGACTTTCCAATTTGACTCCATCTTTCTTTCATGGTCAGCTGAATTAAAACTTCACTGTTTTGCTGGATTGGTTCTTGTTTCTTTTCTTCACCAATCATTGGACTACAAAAGTATGTAAAATTTACACCAATTGCTCATTTATGCTCTTGGAAATCCAAACTAATACAGTTGGTGCGTTTTCAATGATGTTCAGTATACATTCACGTACGATTTGCTTCTATTTTTAGAGTAATTTTATGAATGACATTATATGATAAAGAGATTATTTTTGAAGGAAGGCTATTTTGAGGGGTGTAGGCAGCTCATTCTATAAGGTTGAGGCAGCGTAAGCGAAGGTTCTTTTACTAAATGTGATCCAGATGGAGAGTATGTGTGCAGCTCTATATACAACTGCCACATAATATGACCTTGACACTTGACGTAACCTTGACACTGCCATTGCGGCTTTAACAACGCCCTCCTCGTTAAACCTCCAGCAACCACATCCACCCCGTGGGTCATCCAGCAAGGAAGGTCACCTGTCCAGCAAAGTCCACGCCTGTAGCCACGAGACTACGAAGTGCGTGACCACCGCTTCGCTTCTCAATGTCAGAACACTAATTCTTGGCCGTTATTCAATAACCTAATTGATTTTCGACTTAGTCGCGAAAAGGGGATTAGAAATCTTTTATGAATGTTTAGCTAGTGCCCAGCTTTGAGCTCGGAGATGCCGAGTCTGAAGACGCTTTTCTCAACTTCCTCTGGTTCCTTAGAAGAAAGAGGCAACGGTTCAACCTTCATTTCTTGCCTTCCATCACGCTTTCAGCTTCTAATACAGAGTAACACAGAATCATTAGTCTGAGAGAAAATGGCACGGTGCCATTACAATCATTTGCGTGATGCTTGTCAGTCATTCCAACACCACCTTCTCCATCAGCATCCCTGCAGTAATGTGCGTTCGTTCTCTTCGGCATTGTTCTATGCTTGTAATATGAAATGGTAGGATATCTTTGGAACCGTAAGTCATATTCAGGGCAGCTCCATTGTGGTGGGACCATTGTGATGTCCCAGAATTATACTTCTCCTGTCAAGGTCCATCGATCTCACAGTTACTGTTTGTAGGATTTCTTAGGCACCTTTTCTTCCAGAAATTAATAATCGTAATACGAATGTGTCGTTTATGTCTTGAAACGATAATGCTTTTGCAAGTAAAATGAGTTCCAATTGGATGAAAAACCAAAATTCCCATTTCATTGAAAGAGATTTTCTATAGCCAAAAGAGAATTAATCTCGGTGATATCTGAAATGACTCGCAATGGCGAAATTCACGTTTTAATCATGCAGTGTTTTAATCGTCTCAGAATAATCTGCGCAAAAGGATTTTTTGACAAAAAAGCTTGGAAGGCATGTATAGCGTAATGCACGTTTGGTTGAAGATTATATTCATGTAATACTTGAAAATATTGAAACGTCGTTTTTAATGATGGTTACAAGAGACGTGTCACGAGAAGGAGTGGGAGTGAATGAATGTTGTTAGTCGCCGTATAATGACATGTGGTAAAACATCTATAAACCAGTCCTTCCACAGAAGGAAACCTGTGAATCAGAAAGCATGATCAAATTTGGAAATCCTTTTACAGCTTGCTCGCTCTCCCACTTGGCGTTTTATAAAGGACATGTGTATGCATTTGGGTTCCATAAACTTAGTAAGTCATTTATGTATAATAATGAGGGTATTTTGTAATTGTTATATACCGTATATGCTTTTACACACAAATACACCTCTCGGAAGATTTAGTGAGTTTTATGCCGCTTTTAGCAATATTCCAGCAACATCACGATCGGGGGCGAGCGAAAACGCTTTGACCACTAGGCTACCCCACCGACCATTCTCTCGAAAGAAATTACATGTATAATAACACATAATGGTGAATATCATTTCTGCTTGTGACCGAGTATGTCAAGTTATTTTTTTTAAATGCATTTTCTGTATTTATCTCGATAAAAAATCATTTCCTTCATGTTTAACTCAGCAACCGACCAAATGGATTTGGAATATGATTCTCAATAACCAAGTAAAACAAAAGGTGGCCGCAGATCCCGGTTCGATTGTCCACATGGATGCAATGGGTGAGTCCCATTTCTGGTGTCCCCCGCCATATTATTGCTGGAATATTGCAAAACCGTACGCACCCATTCACTATGGCTCAATGTTGTTATTTCTTGACATGCTAAGTCTAACTAAAGTACTGTCGGAAATAGAATCAAACTGTTTTTAGGCTGTTTACTCTGTATCCCTAAAATTTACACAATTGCAAATAGCATATGTCGAAATAACCCACTACGGGGGCGACCGCCTCCGTGGTGTAGTGGTTAGAGCGTCCGCCCGGAGAGCGGAAGGTCGCTCGGCATTAAAATTAAACTATCATTAAAATTTTGACACAGTTCACTATTTGTTACGAGGGAGGAGTGCAGAGAAAGGGACAGCCAGGTGTTCGAGAAGCACGTGCACAAGTGCCCACCAAGTTATTGATTCATTAGCCTGTGCTGTGCCGTCTCCATCCTTTCTCGAACACCTGGCTGTCCCTTTCTCTGCACTCCTCCCTCGTAACAAATAGTGAACTGTGTCAAAATTTTAATGATAGTTTCTTAAAGAACTTTTTTGGAGGAGTACGGAAAATTTTCAAATATAAGAAAGCTGTTGGGTATTAGTAAATGATAAACATGTGTACTATTTATATTTATGTGGCAATTTTGTACAATGATAAAATTTGCAATTCATCGGTCCGTTTCTGACTCAAACGGACTGTACGTGTCTTTCTTTCATAAAGTTTATGTTGACATATGTAAAAGAATATGATACCCGAAAACCATAGAACCGCATCGTAGTATATAGGTGGCATGACCACCCGAAGATGGACAGGACTGGATATTATTTGTAAATTGTTATGACGTGCCGTGTACCTCCCCAGTATAATTGCCCTAAAGGATTATCTTATCTTAGCTGATATCTCTATCCCCCAACCCGACCCCAGGTTTTGCTTTTGAGACGACCCCTCCTATCTGTTTCTTTTTATAGTGACAGTGAGACTGCATGGTAGCTACATCCTTAATAGTTTCGGCATAAAAGTTATTATTTTTTACGTCAGCTATCGTTTATAATGAATCTATGTCTAATTTCAATTAGGCATTTAAAAAGTGTCCTTCGTAATACAATATCGTCGCACACTAATTTGCATAAAGCCATGGTGTGTTCCAAATAAGTCTTTTTGAACTTAGAAAAAAACCGCATTGCTCATTTCTGCACTAATTTCCCCTCAGTAAAGTCCTTTTTCTCCGTTTCCTATCTCTCTACCACTGAGACTGTAGTCAGGCCGAACTTAGTTTAACAGATATTTCACACTTTCACATATCAACTACAAAAATTGTAGAGATAAATGAGAAAATACAGTTTTTTCTATTTCCGACAGTACTATAGTGTGTAAATTGATACATTAACATGAGCATCGATACGATCACAACCAAGCCATGTAGAGCCTGACCACCCGATCCCGTTAGTACCCCGTTACAAGCATGGGTTGCTGAAGACAAATTCTAACCCGGATCTTCACGGGTACCGAAGCTGTCAACCACAAATGTACACATCCATTTTGTCCAAACAACAGTTCAATTTATTTTGCATGACGATTCTGTGAAAAAAAATTAAAACATTACAACATATTGAGTAAATTACCACATGTTCTATCTTTACAGGCAACTCACGACACAAACACGTGTGAATACATCATGCCATGTTGAAGAAGATGTTTGCATGTTCTCATGGTGTGGGATGGATGAAGGGTGAGTGAGTGAGTTTAGTTTTACGTTGCTTTTAGCAATATTCCAGCAGTATCACGGCGGGGGACACCAGAAATGTGCTTAACACATTGTACCCATGTGGGGAATCGAACCCGGGTCATGACGCTTTAACCACTACTACACCACCCTGGACATGTAGTAAATTTAAACCTAACACGCTTTAAAACATATATCACGTTCAACTAGTCTTACTTCATTTAAATCATAACACCGTATGTGGGGAATCGAACCCGGGTCATGACGCTTTAACCACTACTACACCACCGTGGACATGTAGTAAATTTAAACCTTACACGCTTTAAAACATATATCACGTTCAACTAGTCTTACTTCATTTAAATCATAATTCCGTATAATTAAATGGTTTTCACATCATTTGTGATTTGACAAAGAAAAAACAAAGGTAGCACATCCATTTCCTTCATCAGAATCCCATGCCTGGACAACGACTCGGTTCGCACATTGTGAGCGAGAAGCACGATCTGCACGTGCTCTGATGTCTCAACACTGGACCCGTCCTGTGCCGTTGTGCACGATTCGCTCGTGCGAATCACTGGTGTTTATTTAACAGTTGTCCTGACATGTGAATATCGGGTTACAATGAGTACCTCCACGTGTTTTCCATGCAAACAGCAGTGCGCGCGTCACAATACCTGTCATAAAAATGGTTTAAAGGTTATCGCATCGTAAATCGCCAAATGTGAATTGAACTGGTCATATCTTTCAGATGCGTCAACAGATATTTGACGAGAATTGATAATATGTTACGTCTGCTTTCGTGACTATCTTGTAAACGCCCGTTGTTTTCCTTTCATCTGAGTTAGCTATCGCAAAGACAAAAATACATTCAAATCACATTCAAAAGGTGTTTACAGGTGCTATTTAATCAACACATTTCGATACCTACCTACGTTCTCGCAACTTTTTATTGTAAAGCTATAGGAGAAAGAAAGAAAACCTCAGAACTTGACTCAACAATCATTGAAAAGTAGGCTTGGAAAGTGTTTTTGGACAGTCGACAATCACTAAACGAAAACACCGACGTTTTCCTAAAATATATTTAATGTTTTATCATATCGTTCTTTGAGCATATTTTCTTCATAAACGGAGCGTTGGGGTAGTCGAGTGGCTAAAGCGTTCACGCAGAAGACCTCGGTTCGATTCCCCACATGTACACGTACAATGTGTAACGCCCATTTCAGGTGTACCTGCTCTGATATTGCTGGATTTTTGCTACAAGTGGCGTAAAACCAAACTCACTCACTCTTCATTAACACCCAGTCAATGATTATTTCCTGACTTGTAATTATATATCAAAGCAACAAAATATTTCAAAAGTAATAATAATGATAATAATAGAAAGCAGATTCCGTTGTACGATTTATATTTTAACTTTAGATGTGTTTATGAATCAAACAGTGCTGATACCAGGTGAGCGTATCATGTCCCACCTACGGCACCCCTCACAAACGCACGCAAAGGCAAGTCAATTGTCCTCCTGGACAAAACTACACGAGACTATAGCACAAGTCAAAATAGGGAATTGTATTTGACATATGAATTGCATCTTCGTCACTGATGCGTCAACTTTGGAAATGCATTCCGCATGTCTAGTTTGAAAGTTTTACTAAAACCTTGAATGTTATGACATTGATCAAAATCGGTTTTTTAGAAAGAATTTGCCCGACTCTACCTCAAAACTTGTGAAATGTAAACAACAAGCAGTAACTGCTGGAACAGTGCACGACATAAAAGGAAAGTTCACTTTGAAAGTTCATTTTTGTTTGTTTGCTGTTAAACTCAGCAATATTCCAGCTATATGACAGCGGTCTGTAAATAATCGAGTCTGGACCAGACAATACAGTGATCAACAGCATGAGCATCGATCTACGCAATTGGGAACCGATGACAAGTGTCAATCAAGTCAGTGAGCCTGACCACCCGATCCCGTTAGTCACCTCTTACGACAAGCATGGGTTGCTGAAGACCAATTCTAACCCGGATATTCACGGGTCTTTTAAAAGATGAAGCCATTCCTCTTGTCATACAGTCTTATGGGGATTCTTTTGTCTCTCCGAAACTTAACACTAAGATCCAAATATGAGACAAACGAAGCGCTTTCACTGCACTCCTAATATAACCCAGGTGGGTAAATTAGAGGAAGGGAACTGGATATTTGACCATTATGCAACATAATCCGATCATAACCCTGTTGTCGCATTCATCCAACGAATTCCATTGTGACGTATACAGATCACGTGATTCTTTAGGTCTTCAACTCTCAGGTTATCGTTCGATGACTTCCATTAGGTTGACACGCCCTAACATATCTGAAATACAGTTTAAATCAGCGTTATCCCACCTCACTCACTCTAACGCCTCTGCAAATGACCTTGACCCATAAACACCAATTCTAAGTTTGGTTATTTATTGCTTAATGTCTTTGATTAATTTCTACATGGTACTGGCAATTAAAAACTTCCTTTTTCGGACCACCGAAACAATAGTGCTATTTCGACAAGAATGTGAAGAGATTTGAATATTTAAAATCTAATTACAGTATCTGGTGCCCAATGTTTTATTAATGGAGTTTTCCAGCGGACAAAATAGTATAGCATGATGTGTTTGGCTTCCAGGGGTTCTCGTTCGCGACCGTGTTTTTTTTTCGTACTTACAGTAATAATTACCCTAGGCGTAAAATGAAATTCCGTCTTTCTTTTTACTTACAGTTTGTTAAATGCACGAAATTCATTCCCTTTTGATGCTGTGCCATCTTCCAATTTTAACCAATGTGATGACGTCACGCTATTGTTCTTTCGGTTCTGAACCATAAATTCACTTGCCATTCTCAAACTGCATTTTAAAACTGTAGACTAATTCAACCGCAGTTCATTATGCAAAATAATTCACACATTTTTATCAGCCATTACATTGTAAGTCGGAGAATTAATCAAATATTTCTAATAGAATAAACCGATTCTCGTGATTTCTCCTTAGTGCAAATGCAGCATCCAGGATTTGTTGATGATGCAAATTCGCTTTCTAGACCAAATATGGCATACATTGTTCTTTCCCGAATTCATTTTACATTGCCGAAAATCTTTGAGACTTCCATAACTGCCAAAGACTTCGGGTTTTCTCCCACATTACACGATGGTGGGGTAGCCTAGTGGTTCAAGCGTTCGCTCGTCACGCCAAAAGCCCGGGTTCGATTCCCCACATGGGCACAATTTCTGGTGTCCCCACGCCGAGATATTGCTGGAATGTTGCTAAAAGTGGCGTAAAACTAAACTCACTCAGTAAAGTGTGCCAAATGTACAAGTGAGTGAGTATGGTTTTTCGCCGCTTTAGCAACATCAGCGGTGGACACCTGAAACGGACTTCACACGTTGTACCCATGTGGGGAATCAAACCCGGGCCTTCGGCGTGACGAGCGAATGCTTTGACCACTAGGCTACCCCATCGCCCCTATCTTTACATCGGTGTCTTCAGCTTCGGTCCCCCATTGTTTTACTAAGTGCATAATGAGATTAATTTGTTAAAAAACTTATTTCAAAACAACACATGGCCAGTGATTACAGGGGAACTGTATATTTAATGTGTATGTCAGCTACCTGCGGAATATACATCAAATATTAATATCATTCAGATTAGTTTCAGGCTGGGTGGCAGGATGCTTGATAATGCTGTGTTGATATAGAGGGTGAGGTCAGCTAAACATTATCGATGTCGAGTTAATGTACGAGGAAAGACGTTCGACAGGCTCTTTGGAGCACTCCGTGGTCAAGTGGATAAAGTCTCCGACCAGAGAGCAAATGAACTTCTGGTTAACTGACCAGAAATTGAATAAGGCTTTACGCCGCTTTTAGCAATATTCCAGCAATATCGCAGCGAGAAATTAGCTTCACCCTTTGTTCCCATGTGGGGAATTGAACCCGGGTCTTCAGCGTGACGAGCGAACGCTTTAACCACTAAGCTACTCCCACCGCCCCGTACTCATTGAGAAGGCCGTAATAGTTTATGTAGCCTGCCAACATGAATGGTTTTACGTGGCTAACGGTCGAAAAAAGATCTTATCAAATGCTTAAAGGAAAAATAAACATGAATGTAGAATAAATCTTCAATATTGCGTGTCCTTGCGTTATGACTTCATCGCATCTTCATTAACAGGGACCCGTGAAGATCCGGGGTAGAATAGATCTTCAGCAACCCATGCTTGCCACAAAAGGCGACTATCTTGTCGTAAGAGGCGACTAACGGGATCGGGTGGTCAGGCTCGCTGACTTGGTTGGCACATGTCATCGGTACCCAATTGCGCAGATCGATGTTCAAGCTGTTGATCACTGGATTGTCTGGTCCAGACTCGATTATTTACAGACCGCCGCCATATAACTGGAATATTGCTGAGTGCGGCGTAAAACTAAACTCACTCAGCCCCTATCTTTACATCGGTGTCTTCAGCTTCGGTCCCCATTGTTTTACTAAGTGCATAATGAGATTAATTTGTTAAAAAATTATTTCAAAACAACACATGGCCAGTGCGTACAGGGGAACTGTATATTTAATGTGTATGTCAGCTACCTGCGGAGTATACATCAAATATTAATATCATTCAGATCAGTTTCAGGCTGAGTGGCAGGATGCTTGATAATGCTGTGTTGATACAGAGGGTGAGGTCAGCTAAACATTATCGATGTCGAGTTAATGTACGAGGAAAGACGTTCGACAGGCTCTTTTGGAGCACTCCGTGGTCAAGTTGAAAAGTCTCCGACCAGAGAGCAAATGAACTTCTGATTACCTGACCAGAAATTGAATAAGGCTTCACGCCGCTTTTAGCAATATTCCAGCAATATCGCAGCGAGAAATTAGCTTCACCCTTTGTTCCCATGTGGGGAATTGAACCCGGGTCTTCAGCGTGACGAGCGAACGCTTTAACCACTAAGCTACTCCCACCGCCCCGTACTCATTGAGAAGGCCGTAATAGTCTATGTAGCCTGCCAACATGCCTGGTTTCACGTGGCTAACGGTCGAAAAAAGATCTTATCAAATATTTAAAGGAAAAATAAACATGAATGTAGCATAAATCTTCAACATTTCGTGTCCTTGCGTTATGACTTCATCGCATCTTCATTAACAGGGACCCGTGAAGATCCGGGGTAGAATAGGTCTTCAGCAACCCATGCTTGCCACAAAAGGCGACTGTGCTTGTCGTAAGAGGCGACTAACGGGATCGGGTGGTCAGACTCGCTGACTTGGTTGGCACATGTCATCGGTACCCAATTGCGCAGATCGATGCTCATGCTGTTGATCACTGGATTGTCTGGTCCAGACTCGATTATTTACAGACCGCCGCCATATAGCTGGAATATTGCTGAGTGCGGCGTAAAACTAAACTTCACTCACTCACTCATTGACAGGACATACGCCAGCTTGGAGGGGACACAAAACATGTTCGACGTGTTAGCATTTCGTTTCCATTCTCACTTACATTTTGGGAAAAGAAACGAAATCGACATAAATCTCTGACTATTGACAACAGCGTCTCGCAAAAAACACGGAATACAGAAAAAACATGCTTAAACGCCAAAAATCAAATGATAACGGATGAAAAGTAAACTGAAAATTCAGTATCCCAAACCTAACCCTGTATACTGAAGTTCGAGAACCATGAATTTCTGTGTAGTACTATTTTAGTGAAGACTTAGCACACCACAGAAATATCCCTCAAAATATCCATAATCTCAAATTGTTTTTCTTGAGAAAAAAATCAAAAACTTTTCAAAGCAGGGGAATATATTGCACAGAGGCGGGAATAGTTTTCGATTTCCTGTATATATTGTGTTTCGTTTTCATTTCGGAGATTCCCATTTGACTTTGGACTTGTTGTGTTAAGTGTTTGGCTTTCATGAGATGACATCAGTGTTCAGTGTTTCGTGCTATTTTGTTTTTTTCTATTTGAATTTACCGAGTTTTGAAACACACGGACGTACATTTGTAATGTTTGTTTTTAGGTTTTTACAGTGTTGAAAGACGGCGTATTATACTCGTTGTTAAATCTAAAACATATTGATATTGCGAAAATACTTCAATGTCCCTTATGGAATAGTTGTCAGCAATTATTCATAAAGAAGGGTTTTTAGGATAAATGTTGACGAAACTTTACTTATCGCCAAAAAACCATTGTATTTTTTAAATAACTTTCGGTTTGGAAGAAAACGTATGTATGCAGAGTAAAGAAGTCCAGATTTCCACGGTCCAGTCAAATATAATGACTCTCAACCAATGTGACTGCATCGAATACTTACATCGTGTCACAGTATAGCTGTGTTTTACGTTATACCATTTGATCTTACAAAGACCCAAGTTTTGGGGAGAGTTGTACCTGCGTAAAAGAGGTACAATGTCCATCTTGTCTGGTGAAAATAAAGGGTTTCAGGAAGTACTTGACCATTTTATGTCAATTGATATACACAGGTTTATGTTTCCTAAATGCAGAACGGCAGACGAAAAATATTAGCCTCGAATCTTCACACATTACTACCACAATGGTTGTTGGTTTGTTGTTTTACGCCGCACTCAGCAATATTCCAGCTATATGGCGACGGTCTGTAAATAATCGAGTCTGGATCAGACAATCCAGTGATCAACAGCATGAGCACCTATCTGCGCAGTTGGGAACCGATGACATGTGTCAACCAAGTCAGCGAGCCTGACCACCCGATCCCGTTAGTCGCCTCTTACAACAAGCATGGGTTGATGAAGATTAATTTTAACCTGGATCTTCACGGGTCTTCTCCACAATGGCGCTGGTGCCATTCTAAATTCTGTTTCTATCGCAGCTAAATCTAAAGGTAAGTCAGCTCTTTATTTGTCCATGAAACATGAAACAATCGTACACTTTCCATTACGTTTCATAACAGCCCGGTCCTTCGTGTCATGATGTTGAGAAAGAGCTGTAAAGAACTTTGTCAAGCCAGCAGAATTTCTGCAGTTCGAGATGTGTTATATTCTCATGGGTCTGTGCACACTGAAATTAAAAAAGGCCTTTGGTTTAATGTCTCAAGTCAGGACCATGCAATCCTGTGAAAGCATATTTGTGCCACAATTTAAATATATTTATCGTCTACGTCGATGCGGCTTTCATGCACCGGGAAGACACTTTCTCATCTCCTTGTATTACAATCGTGTGTGTGTCACTCCCAACAAACGTGTGCATCGTAACTCAGATTGTGATATCGTCTTATTAAGTTGCGATCCTTTTTGGACGGATTTTACAAACACTCGATATAGTTTATATGAATATATTTAATTGTATATAGAGTATTTAAATATATGGTTTGTTTTCGTGGTTTGTTTTCATTTGTTTGGGTTTTTCTTAATTTTCACGATAAAATAATCCATAGCAGATAACACCTTCTCCTTGGTAGATTATAATATACCGGTAGTAAATGTAATACGTATAATTAGACTGTGGCACTAAAAGGCCATCCGTGAAGATCCGGATTACAATTGATCTTCAGCAACCCATGCTTGTCATAAGATGCGACAGGATCGGGTGGTCAGGTTTGTTGACTTGATTGACACATGTCATCGTACCCTCTGTTATTACCTCTGTTGCTTGTTTTCTGAAAAATGCATTTATATACAGATGTAAAACGTGATAAGTATGTAAACTTTGAAAATATGTATCTGTACTATAGGCCGTTTGGCCTAAAATGTTGAATAAACTGTGTGTCTGTATCCCAATTGCCTAGATGAATGTTCATACTGTTGATCACTGAATTGTCTGGTCCAGACTGGATTATTCACAAACCGCCGCCATATAGCTGGAATGTTGCTGAGTGCGGTGTGAAACAAACAAGCCTCCATACAATCCATTGAGTGATATCATAAATACGATGACATACAATCAATTACGTCACCAAAACTGACCATCAAATCCACTTTGTCACCCCATAACAACCCCAGGTTTCCGGACACCAATGTATTTACCTGGAATCACCAGAGAAAGACAGACCACACGAGGTTCCAATGCAGTATATTTATTAACATTCTGTACAACTTCTGACATTCAGACAAATCTATAAACGGTACAGTCAGATGGCACCTCCATCATCATCTAGCTACAGCCACTGGTCAGACAGCGGTCAAGCATGATGACCACAAGGACAACTAAATATTCTGGCAATGCTATTATCATTTCGCTGAATCTCCAGATCCCTTCCATGGTGGCTGTGGCTCACACACTATCAGATGTCTCATGTTTTCAAAATCTTCTAGTACCCTTCTACAGTTTCAGCATGATGTTCACCATTTCCATATAAATAAATATCTCAAATTGGTTTACAATAATCAGAGACTATGAAATATTCTTGTCATTTTATAGTCCCTGCTATTATCAATGTGACAAGTGCCCAGAATCAAACACTTCAACGGAGTCACTTATTTTAGATCAACAATTACAATCATTAAAAAATCATTATATCAATATTTCAAAATAATGTCCGACAATACCAAATACCGAAAGCGTATCATCTAATATTTAACACTCGTCTTCAAAACATGTAGGTGCTGATTTCTGGGCGCTCAACAGATGAGTAAGGTAATCAACAATCATTTGTGATTTTCCTTAATAATTACCAAATGAATGAATGAATTTGGCTAACTGATTCAATGGTAATATTGCAGCATAGTGGGATCACCAGGCCTTGTATCCATGTCAACCTTGACTGAACATTAGTCTTTGGCACTATGAACAAAGGCTTCAGCCATACAGCAAGCTCAATGGTATTAACAAACCCAAATGCCCTTACTATTAAATAAACGTTCAGCTTTATAAAACTATATATAGGTCCCATAAGTTCATTTTAGCTATTATTGTAAATAAAATACTGAAAAACTTACAATACAATCTTTGTGTCAAGCGTCAAGGAAATAAATTATATTGCAAAATTAATAAATTAGCATAATTCAAATAACTTCACTGACCAATATTTTTCCAAGATACCAATACTGTTTTATCTTGTTCATATATAATATATGTATTAATATTGCAAGCATATAAAACAATAAAACATTGTCTCACAATCAGAGCCAACAAAGAAGATAGGGTGTCACATAATTAAAAACATGATCCTTTATCACACATTAGTCTGTACCAGGACCGCTTAGTCAAGATCTACACATCAAGGAAAAGGTTCAGTACGTCATTACCCTTACCTCCCTGAAATAATTTCCTGACAAAGCAATGATTTACTTCACACTTTTTCCTTTTGTTGAAATACAGAAGTAATAATAATAAGTTTTGAAACTTTAGTATTCGTCTCTGGACCGTATTTCATTTGCCTGCGGTACCTCTTTACATCACACACAGAGACTTGTCACCCACTGAAACAGTACACTGTGTTCTTGTACAAACGTTTCAGAAGGTAACAGTTTTTAGACATTTTCAAAAAAGGTCAATATTCTTTGTTTTTCCAAAAGAGACATATACAGTTTGGCACATACAAATATGTAGTAATGGTGCCGAATTTTTTTCAAGCATATATTTTTATTTAACATTTTAAAACAGTTTGATAAAAGTACAAGGTATGAAACACCTTCCTGTTCTCTCACCTATCTGTTCTCTCACCTATGAGTTTTAGTTTTTAAGAATCTGATAAATAAAAACAAAATAATGTCTATACAAGAGTACTTTCAGTTGAGAAGTTTGATTTCATGCAAAACATGCACTGCAATGAACACATGAGCAAGTGGTTGCATTATTTTACACTGTGATCTATATAATTCTATTTATAGCAGACAACCATGTCGAGAGTTCCCTTTCTGTTGACATCTTTATACAAAGCAGGTAATTAATGTCCATTAGATTTTCATGAAATGAAATCAATGTTTTCATGTATTAAACTGCAATGTTGAGAAGATTTTTCCCTCAATCTTACATGTGTAGTACTGATTGATCTATTAATAGTTATATCACTGGTATGATAATTCTTCCAGTCATGTCACATACATGCATGAGGTAATCATAATCATGTTATGACATCACACCTTCGACCTACACTGTTATAATATTACAATAATGATATGCCTTCAAACCACCAAACTTGATGATGTAATGATCTCAGTATACTAGCAAGAAATCCTCAAGGCTTAATACAAAATATATACTGCTCCTTGTTTCTTATCTTAAAAACATTACAATTACTCACATTTCTTAATCTATTTCCTCATTTCAGATTCATTTTGTTTCTTGTCAGAATCCTGATAAATTTGACAAAATTCAAACCAATTCTCACATTCTTCAAGCTGAACCCTATCAAAGAAATAGTCAACCCAGATAGCCAGCAAGTCTAACTCCAAAGAAATGGCAATTACCCTATTATCCGTCATAAGCATTCTGGGCACTTAAAAGCTGAGAACAGATTTTTTAAAAGTAACAAAAGTTTTCAGAATATGAGCAGTGTTGAAGAAACAACATTAAAAACAAGAACTTTTCTGAAAATAGTTACAAGGCAATAATAACCCCCTTCTGATGTTTTCAGTTAAGAACCCATAACATACACCAGAAATGTTTTAAATAAGGGTTTTACTTTGGGGCACTTATCTTAATTTCTAGCAGGTTGATGAAGAAGCTGGCCAGGGCGTGGTTACTAGAACAGGAAGCTAAATATGTAAATTGTGGTGATATGAATTTATACCAGCCCAGTTTACAGAATTTTTGGTCAAAAACAGATTAACATACAGACTTCCTGCTCAAAACTCCAGTAACAAATGAAAATTCAGCACATCCCTCGAAGTCCTTTCTGTGTGATCAACACTAATGTCACCTAATAGTCTTAAAGCTATAAATGCCAAGCTCCATGCAGCAACGTTTTGCCTCCTTGCCTCTACATACTGCAGAGCTTTGCACAGGTAACGGTCCAGCAATGGAGTCTGGATATATTCTACTGTACAGATGTTTCAAACAAATTTATTGGATCTATTGTTTATCAATTTCTTTTGATATCTTCTCTAACAATATCTGAACCTTGCAATCAGGACTATCACAGAAATGACCCCCAGACGAAATTCTCTAACTAATGCATAATTTTTCATTTGCAAAATTAACCAGATTATTATTATTTTTTTTTATGCCTTTAGTTGTGATTTATTTTTTCATGACCTTATTTTACACTCACCATCCACCTACAATAAATGATCATACCTTCTGCAGGTATTCAAAATTCAAGGGAGATAACTGTGTGCGTAAGCTCAGTAAAAAGCAATAAGCAGAAAATAAGATTAAATGAATGAAAATTAACATGATTTTCAAAGTGATCAATTTCCCTGGAAGAATAAATGAATTATGCTTGTAATGACTGATATTTACACTGAATTAATGAAATCCTTTCAAAACATGCATCAGATAATACTACTAAAGCGTAATATTAGAAGCTAACAAAACAGAAGCGGAATATAAAAGGTTCATAAAGCAGTAATAGTTCTTGATGTTGCACGATATAGCATAAAAACAGTAGAATGATTATGATCTGACAGATAATTGAAGTCATGATCTCTTTAATCTAGAATATATGTATACATCTAACAAAAAATCAGGAACATTGTTCTTTGAATCAAAAATATCCTGTTGGCTGATGCAAAATGACATGGCGATCTTCATCACACTGACGATAAACTTTTATCTATTTGCAACAGACAACAATTCCATACCGGATGACAAGTACTGTACATATCTCTACGTTCACAGTGGTGTGCAAATATGCAAAATATACAACACATACAGAATGTACAAACAAGTTTGGGTAACCATGGTAACAGATTCAACAGTACACAAACAACGTATACATATATGTCTACTGTCTTGCATCACGCCAAGCAAACACATTCAAAGAATATAAACACCATTGACATTGAATCACGAAATGTAACAGAGGTGAATTATACTCATATGAACTTTATTTAGCATCACGCAAGACATTAAATACCTCGTACAACTGTTACACAAAGTTTGACCTTGCAAAAGGTTAGCCTGGCCCAGATAATGGCAATGACCTTGACCCAGACCATGCCAATGACCTTTACCATGACCATGGTAATGACTTTGGCCAAGGTTGCATCAATGACCTTGACCTAGTTCAAGCTAAGGACCTTGGCCTACATTAGATAAATTTCAATAAATAACTTTCTAGTGCCTACAGATACTGGTAGCTACCGGTAGCTTAATATGATACTGGTAGATCAAAGTTCTTCATTAACTCTCTAATCTAAATCTATGTATATTTGCTGACTGTACTCGTGAAAGATGTTGCACAACATGTAATGATTGTTCAGCTTGACCTGAGCTACTCTACATATGCATGACCCGGGAGGTCAAATGGAACAAACGGCAGGTCGAGTTAACTTCATTAAATAGGGGAGCAGAGAATGTTATTAATGTTGCAGCGAGCTGCCTAAAAAGCCAGAATCGGAAACATTAAACCATATGTAGCTTCTTTTTTTAAGCTTAAGAAAGTTAGGACATTGCTGACGATTTCTCGACACTGAGATGTCAAACGGCCACTTTGTCTTGGCTGTTCGGACATGTTGACAATCGACTGACAAAGGTGCACCCCTTCACAATAATAGACCCAACCAGTTGTGACACGGTCGCGCAATGCATTAGTATTTACTTGATCAGGTCAAGCTGGTCAAGCTGTAACAAACAGTGACACAATTTTTCAACTTTAGTCCATCTGCTAGTAGACAACTAAGTTGGATCAGCTCCTTGGTTCAGGAAGACCAGATTATTCATGTCCACAGAGAAACAAATATTCAAACCATCAAAATTACACATTCTCCTTCAAAACAGATGATCACATGCATTATCAAAATGCAATTCAAATGTATTTTTTCCTCAAAGAGTTGAAACCAATATTTGTCATTCTCTACAAACTAAGTTTCAGTTACATACAATAAATATACACTATGAACAAACTCAACTTAATCTGACTGAAAAGACAGCTGGGTGACGTGTAAAAAAACTCGTAAAAAATTTCTTCGACTATGTTTTGACATTGTTTTCTTCACCCAGACAAAGTTGCATCACAAATAATGGTAGCGAGTTATTTACATATGAAAACCCTTCTGGTTTCTTCCCTACAGTACATTTGCATAATCACTATGGTCTACTGCCTATTGCGGTGTCCATCGGTCTATCTGTCTACTCGTCACAGGTCTACTGAGGTCTAGCTGGTATTGTGGGTCGACCAGGGATCTTGGGGGCGGCGCCTCGGATACTCCCTTGAGAATTACCTCCTGGGCGTCTGAGCAAAACAAACAAGAACAAGATTAGTTTCACTTCAATATACTGTGAACATATATCGACTATCAGATTTGTGTTGTAAAATTATCATTATTCCTAGCCATTCAGATCTAATCAGTTGGGATTAATTCTGCTGTCAGCAATATTCAAGCTACGACATACATTGTATTTCACGCATACAGTTGGCCTTTTTCTCAGTGACCAAAGGGAGATAATTTAAACTCTCTGCACTTTGGCAACAATTTTCAACCATTTCTTTCAGAAAGAGTTTAGTTTTACGCCGCTTTTAGCAATATTCCAGCAATATCACGGCGGGGGACATTGTACCCATGTGGGGAATCGAACCCGGGTCTTCAGCGTGACGAGCGAACACTTTAACCACTAGGCTAACCCACCGCCCCTTTCATTAAGAATGCATTATAACTTTCTTAGTTGTTAAATGCTGCACACTTAACAATATTCCATCTATGTGATGTCCTCTATTAATAACTGAATCAGGATCAACCAAACCAGGGATTGATATCATGAACACCACTCCAATCATCTATGTCCACCCTTCAAGCATGATAGTGAGTGAGTTGGGTTTTTACACCCCTTTTCTACAAAGACTGACTGACTGAGTTTGGTTTTACGCCGCTTTTAGCAATATTCCAGCAACATCAGGGCGGTTTTTCTACAAAGAACCCCCAGCAACATCACTTGACAATAGGACCACCAGTGTTCATTCATCATAAGATAATTTGTCATGATTCGTTAAAATACCTGCAATCTTGCAAATAACACAAATCAGCTTGCCGTTCTGTACCGATGGCTGGGGACACCAGAAACGGGCTTCACATATTGTACACGTGGCAAATTGAACCCGGGTCTTCAGTGTGATGAGCAGATACCTTAACCACCAGGCTAAAACACCACCACCTCAACCCCTCGTACAACTAAACTCACTCAAGCAAATTGTCAATACAAGTAGTTTTTATTCAAGTTGTTCAAACATGACCCTTGAATGTGAATGGTGACAATCATCATCATCATCATCATCATCATCATCATCATCATCATCATCATCACCACCACCACCACCACCACCACCATCACAATGGCCAAAACATTGTTGTGATACAGAAGACATGAGTTTGTTGCTTGATGCTTGTTCGTTGTGAAACGTCCCGCTCATCAATATCCCAGCTATATGGGAGTCCAGTCTGGCCCAGACAACCCAGTGATCAACAGCATGAGCATCGATCTAATAATTGGGATACAATGACATGTGTCAACCAAGTCAGCGAGCCTGACCACCCAATCCTGTTAGTCGCCTCTTACAACAAGAATGGGTTACTGAAGATCAATTCTAGCCTGGTTCTGCAAGGGTGGGTACAATTTGTAAACCCATTTCTGGTGTCCATAACGATTGGAACACTAACCCTTGCCTCACATACCCAAACCATGTTGAGAGTCGGGCAGACAAAGCACAGACGAAATGCCTCTAAAACTAAGTCAGGGGTGAGTTCTGGATGTACAGGACTTTACAAGCTGAACATTCTTGTCTACGTCAACACCAAGTATTTCTAGCTTGTAAAGTCAAAACCTGTTCCCCATTGTTCAAGGAGAAGTCAAACCTCATGAGCCAGACTTACGACGGAATGTTTGGCGCCTGGCGTTTAGGAGAGAGGGGTGGCGACGGTGCTGCCCTCGTTGCCATGAGAGGGGCTGGCAACAAGTCCCGGGGCGCAACCGGCGGGGGCATCGTCATTGAGTTCCTTGGCGATGCCACTGTCGGGGTCATCGTCATTGAGTTCCTTGGCGATGGTGGCAAACTTCTGAAGTATTTTGTCAGTCTTAAAACTCCGTATCACGAAGGACGGATCTACTATTGCTCTTACCTGACGAGGCTATCACTGCAGGAATGATGAGCGAGATCAAGAGAGGCATCGTTTGTATGTGAGGTGACAAACTCACCCATGTTCAGGTTCCATATTTAATTAACATCCCCACAAGAACAGAGTTTACACTGAAGCCAAAGAAGGTAATTATTCAAGGTTTTTTTGCAGTCAGTAACACAGTAGTGCGATTGGTTCCGTATTTCAAACCAAGGGAGGTAACTCCTCTAGTGATGATGAGATCAAAATTTCAAAAATGGAGTGTGTGTCATTAGCAGATAAGACTTCCAGAGAAGATGGAAATTGTTTTTTGTCTTTTTAGATGTCTGTTTTTTAGCGTTTTTTAAAAAATAATTAGTTTATGTATAATTTGACAGCTTTTAGAAGGTACTGCAAGCTTCCTGACAAACAGTCTTAGTGAGGTTTTATTATCAAGTGCTTAATGTCAACAGACACCTTGTCCTTATCACAGAACATCATTTCACATGGGCTCCTTATATCCTCCATCAACATACGATGCCCCTCTGACTCTGCATCACTAAGCCAGGTGTTGTACTTACGCCGGTACCGATGGTGCACTGGGTGCCTGGGGGGCCGGGCGAGACGGAATGGATGGCCCTGACCTCATGGGCATTAGCGGCTGTGGGAGACTGCCAGAGTCGCCAGGGCGGTTGGGGACTGGGGGAGGTGGTCGGTTTCTGGCGGGAGACGGTGGTCGACTGCAAGGGAGATGGCAGGACAATGGAGAGATGGTGCAGGCATTAGATTGGAGGTAGCAAAGTGTTATAGAAGGAAGGAAGAGAAGAAAATGTGACGTGAGGAATGTGAGACCAAATAAGTGATAAGTGAACATAATAAAACGAAATAAAACGAAACTTTTGAACAGCATTTGAAATGAGGAGGGTTTAACAAGTCATGAAAGAAAGCAAGAGACAAGCAAATAAACAAACAGGTGACATGAGAATAAACAGACAAAAAATGTAATAAAACAAAAGAGAAATTGAATCAGAGGAAATATCGAACTGTATTTGAAATTGAGGATTTTTTGTGTGTCCATGATATCTACTCATGTCAAATAATTTGAATCATCAGCTTTAAAATTAAATAAAATTCAAATTTAAAGGTAAATAGGATCTCTTGACTTTTGTAATACATTGTGACCAAAGAAGAATTCCAAACATTTAATTTATTCTGCAGATGTGAGTGCAAATGAAATGTGGGGAAACAAGCAATTGAGTTTTTAAATCAGAAATATCATTATACAAATCATAATTACATGGGGAAATGAAAAGCAAACAAAACATTGATAGTTAACAAAATACACCAGTAGAAATAATTCAAATGTAAACATGTATCAGGTTTCAAAAGATCATAATGATCAAGTAATGAAAACAATAAGAATGTGTCCATTTATATAGCGCCAAACTCCACACTAGGTATGTTCATAGCGCCAAACTCCACACTAGGTATGTTCATAGCGCCAACAATCAAGGCACAGCACATTATTACCCTGGATAACCCAAGCCGCCTGTTAAGAGCTAGAAGGTTATAGTCACATGACTTATCCCACTGGGTACCCATTTTCTGCTGGGTGAACGGAGGCAATTTTGAACAAACTCTATACCTAAGTGAGACCACTTTTATCACATGTGTTTCATGATCAGATCTACTGAACTTTACACTAACTTATGACATTTTACACTTTTAAAATACATGTATTTGAATTTTAAAGTATGTTTCAAATTTCCAAGAAAACAGAACATTTACAAGAAATATAACTTGAAAGAATCTTATCGAGAAAAATCATTCTTTCTGTACCAAAATTTGTATTCAACTCCAACAAACAGATACCAGAACTTATGTGGTATGCTCAAGATATTTTTCCCTTTGGAGACACATCAAGGCCTGTTGGATTCTATACAATAACATCACGATATCAGCAGAGGTCATTCTGAATCGTCAATGATATCTTTTGATATTCTCATTGACTTTCCAGATGCCAGTTAGTCAGAGTCCCAGAAAACCGATCAGAAACAAAACTATGATAGCATGAGCACTTCAACAACAGTTGTATATCTGTTGGTCTGGTGCCACTGCCCAATCCCAATTCCTGGCAGTTAAATCCATATAAAGCATTCAACTTCTTATAGATAGGTATGTTTAAAATAGGTCCTGGGCAGTCAAAAGGGCTATATTGAAATAAAACTCAGTGTTAACATTTTTGTAAAGAAGTGTAATAAATATTATTTTCTGAAACTAAATCCCACATAAGATGTTCATTTACAAGGAAACGTGATAATTTCAACAGAATAGTAACCTAATCTGTTTTTGCATGTTCACATTTTCTTATTATGAAATGGAAACAATGTTCTCATTACAATGTAATTCAAGTTTACAATCAACATTGTTCCATACTGTATCTGTGCTCCCTTGTTGCAATCGACAGGCGATGTGTCATAAAGAGAATTAATTTCCATTTTCTTTTGTAAGATGCCCTTTCAAAAGAAGACAATGAGCTTAAGCCTACGATTCTTGGTTTTACTTTCAAATCATACACAACAACACGACTGCACGACAACAGGAGATAGAAAGTTACATCTGACCACATCCTAATATAAGTGTGGTTCTTGCGACATATTTTCACCAGAAACTCAACCGGGTCCCCATCCACTAAATGTTCTTAGTGCTACGACATTCGATAAACTATAGAGATACGACAGGTCGTAACGTTATGAACTCTTTGTGGATCGGGACCAAGAGGTGCAGAGGCCCTTGTGGAAGCTCTGTCTGTAAACTCACCCGTTAAACGGCATGACCCCTCCTCCAGAGCCTCCTCCTCCAGCGTTAGGCTCAGCCTTCAGCCAGTCGTTGTCCACCGGGGGTGGTGTTGGGGTGTACGTGGTGCCCGTAGAGACGTCGCCAATGATGCTGAGAGCCTCTTTTGTTGCGTGGTACATTCTCAGCATCTCATCTCGACGCTGTGCCTCTTCGGGTGATTCCTCCATCAGTGACGACTACAGAAGACAACAGTCTTGTTTTGGAACTTTCAATACACATCAGTGTCCTCGACAGTTTTATAACAGAATAATATTCTCATACTAATAATAATTATAAATAATTTTCGAAATACAGTCGAACACTTTTGTGTGTAAGTTGAAAGACCAACATGAATAGTTCAAGCTATCTGAGGCTTCACATAACACACAATGGTGAATAAACAAGTAATAACAAGGACCAAACTTCACTTTGAGACAACCATAATCTCAAGACAATGGAACGCAGGAACGCAGGAACCCATGTACACATGTGAGCACTGACAAACTTAGAGACACAATCAGATCAATTCAAACCCACAGTCTCAGCTAGACGTTTAGCCAAAGGGAAGCAACTCTTCACAGTGAACTGCCACATCTTAGACAACTGAGACACTTATGTCTCCAGTAACACTATGTGATCTGGACACAATTTCCAGAATTACATCTTCTACAAGTGTACCATTCTCTTCCCACAGAGGTTACTCCTGTCATATCTTCCTACGTAACCTCTGTTCTAATATGGCCCTTTCATGGTGTGAGCGTTCAAGACTCGTGATTGGAGGCAATCAGATTTAGTTGTGCAATCAGCGATGTTATTTCAAAAGTGATCATTCGCAAGGCCTCGGTAATTTCCGTATGCTTTGAGAAAACTAAACTTCTTCCCCTGCGCGATGCGCAAACGTTTCTTCTAGACAGAACTCAGTCATGTTATGGCGGATCAGTGGCGTCTCCATCGCCCTCGTTGACAACGGACAAGCTAGCCATTAAACGTCTTGTGTGTAACATCAACACAAGTCCCTGGCAGATGGGGGATATTTTTGGCCCCACATTTGCTTGTGTTAGTCAAGTTGAATCTAAGTCGATGAGACACCTGTTCTGATTGGATAGAAAGAAGGGAGATAATTCGTTTTGCGATCTTTTGCCGCGACAACCGGGAAATATGGAACAGAGGTTCGTAGGAAGATATGACAAGTAACCTCTGTGGGAAGAGAATGCAAGTGTACAGGTGTTGGAAATACTACTGCCAATAGTAGAGATAACCAGATGAAGCTGATTTCAACACAGGACCAGATATGTCGATGTCTGAAGAAGTCACAGAATCCAAAATCCAAAAACTTCAGAGAAAGCTGGGGAGGCAGGGTAGCCTTGTGGTTAAAACAAAGGGCCAAAGTCCCAGCTCATTTCCCCATATGTGTAAAATTTGTGAAGCCCATGTCTGGTGTCTCCTGCCTTGATATTGCTGGAATACAGCTGAAAGTGGCGTAAAATCCAACTCACTCACTGAAAGAAAGCTGGCAAACAGTGCAATATATCAGTACACGCGGAATTAGAAAGTTGCAAGTGTTACATCACTACGCTTCAAGGTGTGTCAGTCGGCTGAATTATACAAAAGAAGATTAAATGATTTCCCCTGTATTGAAAACACTGGAGACTTAGGTACAAGTTTTGAATATTGGCTTTTATTTTATAATTGAGAAAAGAGAAAGATGATCAATGAAGATCCTAAAATAGACAGGCGCAGAATCAATCTTCAGATATGTGAAGAAAGGAATTTTTTCAGATGTGAAGTGATTCCATTCTTTGCGATCATGTCAGTGAAGCAAAAATTCAAAAGTACTACTGAAATTGATCAAGGATGTTAGATATATTTTCCTAATTACATACATCCATAATTAATCGGAACCATTATTAGCACAAGTTTGTTAAGTCAGGTTCACTTGGCTAATTTCAACATGCACCAGTTCCTGAAATCAAGTCTTCGAAGTTTCTTTGAAACCTTTCTCTATTTTGGTCCTGTTCTCAATGAAATATAGCTTACCTCTACAAAGTCATAACATTCATTTTGCTACACTAACATGAAATTTGTCATTCCAGTTTAAACATTAGCTTCTGACTTAAGACCTAATTATCAGCATCTCATCAGCTAAAGAGGGATGTATCATCATTCATATGAGAAATCAACATCCACGTACGAATATATATAGCAACAAATGAACCCAACTGACGTGGAGACTTAAAAAAATGCTTTTTGTTAAATACCGTGCTCAGCAATACTAAAACTTTTCGACATCAGCCTGTAAATAATCAGATCCCGACCAGACAACCCAGAATTTGAGTGAGTGAGTGAGTGAGTATGGTTTTACGCCGCTTTTTAGCAATATTCCAGCAATATCACGGCGGGGGACACCAGAAATGGGCTTCACACATTGTACCCATGTGGGGAATCGAACCCGGGTCTTCGGCGTGACGAGCGAACGCTTTAACCACTAGGCTACCCCACCGCCCCCAGAATTTGACATCATGAGCATCGATCTACGCAGCTGGGAAACAGTGACATGCATCAACCAACTCAGGGAGCCTGACCACACGATCGCAACTGTAATAAACAACTTACACCTACCGATCCTGACCACAGGACAAGCAAGGATTGCTGAAGTTCAGTTCTTTACGTGATCTTCATGGTTATTAAAAACCTGATCCTCTAGGAAGTATGATTTTTCGCCTGTTTTAGCAATATCCAAGCCATATCAGAGAAGAAAACACCATGTTCGAGTTTCACAAACTGTTCACACATGGAGAACAGAACCTGAATCATTACTGTTATTAGCAAACACTTTAACTACTGGGCTACCCCACCTCGTAACTCTGTTACATTGGCGGATGTTGGTTATCTGTTTACCTGGTCTCCAGATGAGTAGAGATGAGCCAGAAGGTCTGTGTTGATGAACTCTTTCAACTGAAAACACAAAGCATCAGCAAGTTTCAGACAGAGATTAAATCATTTGTTTATTCCAATTTATAGGCCTGAGTTTTGATTCATGATGCATTCAGATCAATAAATTAGTCTCAAGATTGTAAATGAAGGTGTTAAATTATTTACTAAAGAAGAAACATTAAAATAAATGTCTGTTTATCATGAATGTGGACCCTTTTTAGGGAAGATTTCTGATCTGTGATCAAGGGGGAATAACTCTTGTACAACAACAATACTGACTGACTGACTGAGTTTGGTTTTACGCGGCTTTTAGCAATATTCCAGCAACATCACGGCAGGGAACACCAGAAATGGGCTTCACACATTGTCCCCATGTGGGGATTCGAACCCGGGTCTTTGGAGTGACGAGCCAACGCTTTAACCACTAGGCTACCCCACCGCCCCTAACAACAATAACAACTTGTGCAAAGGAGTTTAGTTTTACGCCGCAATCAGCAATATTCCAGCTATATGGCGGTCTGTAAATGATTGAGTCAGGGCCAAACAATCCAGTGATGAACAGCATGAGCATCGATTTACACAATTGGGAACCGATGACATGTGTCACTGTCAACCAAGCCAGCAAGCCTGACCACCCGATCCGTTAGTCACCTCTTACGACAAGCATGCTTTACTGAAGATCAATTCTAACCCAGATCTTCATGGGTCTAATGAATGAACCATTGGGACTACTGTACGTTGTGTACATTAACACAGATTTAGGATATTTAAGCACTAACATCGCTTTCTCATACACACAATCGCAACAGCTGATTAACAGCAAGACTGTCAAGCGTAAGTACAAGACAAATTTCAACAGTAGTTTTGATCAGAAGGGAAATGCGAGGCAGATTTAACTGGCATCCGCAAAATATTGAAAATTTATCATAAAAATATCATTGTAATTAATACATATTATAATTTTGGAATCACACGGAACATCATTATGTTCTGTTGTGTGTGTGTCTTTCTTTCTGTCGGTCTGTCTATCTATCTGTATGTCTGTCTATCTATCTGTATGTTTGTCTATCTATCTGTATGTCTGTCTATCTATCTGTATGTCTGTCTATCTATCTGTATGTCTATCTATCTGTATGTCTGTCTGTCTATCTATCTGTATGTCTGTCTATCTATCTGTATGTCTGTCTATCTATCTGTATGTCTGTCTATCTATCTGTATGTCTGTCTATCTATCTGTATGTCTGTCTATCTATCTGTATGTCTGTCTATCTGTATGTCTCTGTATGTCTGTCTATCTATCTGTATGTCTGTCTATCTATCTGTATGTCTGTCTATCTATCTGTATGTCTGTCTATCTATCTGTATGTCTGTCTATCTATCTGTATATCTGTCTGTCTATCTATCTGTCTGTCTATGTATCTATCTCTGTATGTCTGTCTCTATCTATCTGTATGTCTGTCTATCTGTCTGTCTATCTATCTGTATGTCTGTCTATCTATCTGTATGTCTGTCTATCTATCTGTATGTCTGTCTATCTGTATGTCTGTCTATCTGTATGTCTGTCTATCTATCTGTATGTCTGTCTATCTGTATGTCTGTCTATCTATCTGTATCTGTGTCTATCTATCTATCTGTATGTCTGTCTATCTATCTGTATGTCTGTCTGTCTATCTATCTGTATGTCTGTCTATATGTCTGTCTATCTATCTGTATGTCTGTCTATCTGTCTATCTATCTGTATGTCTGTCTATCTATCTGTATGTCTATCTATCTGTATGTCTGTCTATCTATCTGTATGTCTGTCTATCTATCTGTATGTCTGTCTATCTATCTGTATGTCTATCTATCTGTATGTCTGTCTATCTATCTATCTGTATGTCTGTCTATCTATCTGTCTGTATGTCTGTCTATCTATATGTATGTCTATCTATCTATCTGTATGTCTGTCTATCTATCTGTATGTCTGTCTATCTATCTGTATGTCTGTCTATCTATCTGTATGTCTCTGTCTATCTATCTGTATGTCTGTCTATCTATCTGTATGTCTATCTATCTGTATGTCTGTCTATCTATCTATCTGTATGACTGTCTATCTATCTATCTGTATGTCTGTATCTATCTATCTGTCTGTATGTCTGTCTATCTATCTGTATGTCTGTCTATCTATCTGTATGTGTGTCTATCTATCTGTATGTCTGTCTATCTATCTGTATGTCTGTCTATCTATCTGTATGTCTGTCTATCTATCTGTATGTCTGTCTATCTGTCTGTATGTCTGTCTATCTATCTGTATGTCTGTCTATCTATCTGTATGTCTATCTATCTGTATGTCTGTATCTATCTGTATGTCTGTCTATCTTTACACCACTGGATCTCACTCACGTTGTTGACGATCATGTGCATCATGGTCTTCGGCACCAGATCTCTCTGTGTCTTGTTGATGATCTTCATGTAGGAGTCGACCAGATTCGGATTGTCTCCACCTGGCGTTCCAGCTGAGGGTCCATGGAACCAATATCATCCTTGCTCTGTACAAATACAAAACAGTGTCCATAGAACAGTGTGCACAACACAGTAATCCAGTGATATCACGCAGTCAAAGGGGCCACTAATTTCAGCTCCTTGTAGCTGTAAGTTTGTTATAAGCATTTTGAGTGAGTGCGTTTAGTTTTACGCCACTTTTAGCAATATTCCAGCAATATCATGGTAGGAGACACCAGAAATGGGCTTCACACATAGTACCCATGAGGGGAATCGAACCCGGGTCTTCTGCGTGACTAGTAAATGCTTCATAGGCTACCTCACCAACCCAATAAGTTTTTTGACTAAAACATATAGCATGTGTCCAGGCACAGGCAAATTGTAGCACAAATATTGTTGCGCAACAAAGAGAAAATGACCGTTGAACCAGAAGCTGGCAGGGGTAATGGAGGCGAAGAACGATTTGACATGCCACAATTTGCGCTTAAAATGTTGAATTAAATATATTATACGTGAGTAATTATTAAATATGAGTTTGGAAATCTGAGAGCACAACCCTGTGAGGAAATGGGTGTCTACCTTTGATGATGGCGATATTTTATTTTGATATTAAAAATATTTTTCGAACAGAAGCGGAAGCACGATATGTGAAACCTTTATCAGCTTTATATGTGAAGACTGGTCATTTTCTCTTTGTTGTGCAACCCTATTTGCGATACAATTTGCCTGTGGTCCAGGATCCCAGAAACAGTTCATTGTATCCATTGTATCACTATAACCATGTTCATTATATATATAGTTTACTGTGTGCCTCTTCCATTGCAAACTATGTCCTATATCTTCACTTTCTGACTGGTGAAAAAAATTCTCAGTACACCGCATGAGATTGAAGAACTAACCTTATTGAAAATTTGAAATATTTCTTTCTCTCCGATTCCAGAATGATCCTTATAATGCCAAGCGCTAATTATCCTAAAGCCAGGACTTGCATTTGTCCAGATTCACTTCTTGCCATTACTGGTAAGATGCTGAACTAGAACATTGTGCTTCTTGTATAGATCCACTTGAATAGTACAGGCATTTGTTCCCATTGTTAAGATGTTAGGTAGTATGGTTTTACGCAACTTTTAGCGACATTCCCGCTATATCAGAGTGGGGGACACCAGAGGCGAGATGAGGTGAAATTGGGTTTAACGTCGTGCTTGAGAATATTTCGCTCATAAGACAACGTGCATGCGTGTGTATGTGTATGTGCGGCTGCTTGTACTAGCCCAGACTTAAGCTGGTTTTATAGTGCTAGCCCACTGAGATACCATGCCGCAGTGAAGCATGAATACCCCACTCAGACACATTATACTGACTCCGAGCCGACCAGTCCTTGTTGTACCCATTAATGCCGAGCGCCAGACAGGGACCAACAAGTACCATATTTTAACGTCTTTTGGTATGACGCTGTCGGGGATCGAACCCGCGACCTTCTGCTCCCCGGGCGGACGCTCTAACCACTACACCACGGAGGTGGTCGGGGGACACCAGAAATGGGCTTCACACATTGTACCCATGTGGGGAATCGAACCCAGATCTTCTGCATGACGAGTGAACACTTTAACCACTAGCCTACCTCACAGCCCCTGTTAACAAATGGCTAACATTATGGCTCCCAGGGAAAACTATGCTTGCTCACCATTGTTACATATACTCAACAAGTATTTAACTGTTCATATTACGATCCAAATATTGAATATTGGGGTGGTCCTTAACTTCTTTTGTTGAGTATAAGTCAAAGGTACTTATCTACAAGATGCTCATGCAAATAAACCGTACCATTTTGTCTGTTGGTCCACCAGCTACCCCAGGTCAGAGTATGAAAGCAGTATAAATTTGTTCACAAAAAACTGAAGTCTGGTCACACTATATGCAAATTAAATTGCGTAATTCTCAGTCATCACTGCACCAGAATGTGTCACAACTAACCGAAGATGACCCTTCCTCGGACTGTCTCTCCGGGTATACTCCAGCTCGTAGAAATGACGCCTTCCAGGAGTCGATGTCTTCCTGGTTCTCAGCGGACAACTCAAGCTGCTTGTAATCCTTGTAGACATTCCTGCAAGGTCACACATGTAGAGTCACCTCCCCTGTTAGTGTTACACTCTTCAAATAATTACACTTATTAACATCAACAGATAAAACAACAATATTCTTACTTGATTTAGGTTTCAAACAATAAATTCATGGTATGACAGACAAAAATAATTGATTTTATATCTAAATAAATAATTTTACATTCATAGACGGATCTTTGATATCACTGAATCTTCAATATGTTGAAAGTTTCTTAAACAGTTTTTAAACTGTCAAAATACAGTGAATTTCTTGAACGTTATTCAACCAAACTAAGAATAGAACAGAAATGTTATAACTCAAATAAAGAGCCTGTACATTTGACCTCTATCTTATCTAATAGTTCTCAGTTTCAATCATGTTTATGAGTCATCATTTATTCTCAGAATGATGAGGCTATTACAAATTAAATTCAAATTAAAGTATTTAAGTTAAAACACATGATGAGTTGAATTATCATCAATTATTACAAACACGTTGCTGAAAAATAAGTTTGGCAAATAATTATGCTTATAAACATCCGGCAAATGAAATCGCCAATAGAGCCGATACAATGTGACTATAACGATGAACACAACTGATGAACACAACAGAACACGACCACAGTAGTAACAACCTCCTCTTTCAAACATCAATTAGGGGAACTCGTTTGTTTTCAAAATGGCCGACATGTCAGCCATTTTCATACTGCCTGATTTAACTGAACAAACTTCAAACTTCCCACTTCATATTTGAATGCACCCATTGCCATTTTAAATTTTATGATGAGTGTTTTGTTTGACGCCTCTTACAATAGCATTTCAATCACATCTTAAGGGACGTCAGCTTGATATGAGAGAGAGTGAGTGAGTGAGGTTTAGTTTTATGCCGCTTTTAGCAATACTCCTGCAATATCATGGCAGGGGACACCAGAAATGGGCTTCACACGATGTACCCATGTGGGAATCGAACCCGGGTTTTCGGCGTGACGAGCGAAGACTTTAACCACTAGGCAACCCACCGCCTCTTGATATGGGATAAAAACCCAACTGATGTAGACAGTAGATGTTTATCATGGAGGCATGGGTTTGGTGCTGACAAACCATGAAACATAATCATGGAGAATGTGGGATTTGAACCCATAATCACAGGTTCCTAACATACTTGGCACTCACCAAGGTGCATGGTTCACAGTGAATAACACTTAGACGATTGCTCAACCCTTGTCCACAGATGCTGTAGAGTGAGTGAGTGAGTACGCCGTACTCAGCAATATTCCAGCTATATGGCGGCGGTCTGTAAATAATTGAGCCTGGACCAGACAATCCAGGGATCAACAGCATGAGCATTGATCTACGCAATTGGGATACGATGACATCTGTCAACCAAGTCCGCGAGCTTGACCTCCCGATCCCGTTAGTCGCCTCTTACAACAAGCATGGTTTACTGAAGATCAATTCTAACCCGGACCTTCACGGGTCAGATGCTGTAGAAGATGTTCCCATAATTAATGCTGTTGAGATGATGTTAAAATCAACCCAGCGTGGTTCATTCCAAAATAAAGAATTTCCGTATGTTTGTTGAATCTTGGAGAGATCAGGTTCAGTTTTAATATCATATACCAACTGATGCCAAATACAGCCGGCAAATCGACAGTGTGGAAAGACAATGGCATTCATTCCTACCAAATAAACCCCATTCGCAAAAGAAGTGAAAATATTCGTGAATATTGCAATTATATTGCTGAGAACAGTATTGCAATTGTAACTTAACTATTGTATTATTATCCAACAGTATTGCAATACAGAAACTGGTATATGTACGTGCTCTAGCTAAAGCACAACTAGCTAAAGCACTATAACTAAAGCACATTTAAGAAGGCAGTAACAGTAAGTCTTGTTGACCTTTGTTGACACATTTAGAATGTACTGGATACATCAGTGTATCCTGTGATGGTTATTTGCTGTGGTTATACAACCTTATTGAAGGTTGTTTATCAGGGTAGTCTTGTTCCTGTTCCAGAAAAGCAGCTGAACCAACATTACCTAATGACCATGACAGTTATCTTCAATATCATCCTCAGGAAATGTTGAGAGTACTCTGTTTCAGCTCTCAACACCTTGCGCTACAGCACACATTGTGTGGAACATCGCGTAAGGTGATACATCTTTTTTGTGAAAACAGCTCTTATTACAGCTGTTAAACTGCTGTTGAATGACAAACAGCTGTGAAATGATCACTGATGAAATGATCAACATGATCAAACCATTGTGAAATTAACAAACAGCTGTGAAATGATCAAACAGTCAAACCACTGTGAAATGATCAAACCACTGTGAAATGATCAAACATGGTCAAACCACTGAAATTATCAAACATGATCAAACAGCTGTGAAATGATCAAATTTGATCAAGCAGCTGTGAAGTGATCAAAATGATCAAACAGTGGTTACATGGCCAAACATGATCAAACAGCTGTTACATGATCAAATAGCTGTTATAATAACTGATACATGATCAAATTGCTGCTATATGATCAAATAACTCAGCAAGCTGAGCACAAAACACACACCAAAAACAGAACAGAACTACACTATCACAAACTCAAGGCAGAAATGCATGATGACAACACTACTCTACTTCAAACATTCTGTATCTAGCCAGGTGTGTATCTAGCCAGGTGTGAGTTGCCAACGATCATGCTAAGGCTACCATGGTTACAATTAGTGAAAGATGAAGTGCCTAACTGACTGAGTGAAAGTCAGAGGAGGTTATACACGGGTCTAAACAGATGATGTTTTAGTTCTTCAGGAACCACAGCAAAAGAAAACCAGAAACTGCAATGTGTCTTTGGGCATCACGTTTTAGTTGTACCAATCTTCATGACCATATTTGGGACTATCAAGTGTTGGCCAATGACACAGTCTGGGTTCATTAATCATTTGCATAATTATTGCTCGAGTGTTCAAAACGATGAAAACATCAGATGCAAGTAAGGATACTTAAAACAAACAGAATAACTATTACTTCAAGGAAAAGTTCACATAGAAACAAGACGTAATATTTGTAAAATTAAAATTCCAGGGCCCCATTTCACAAAGCTTTCATAGCGCTAAGACTGTCGTGAGCCTATGTTAAAGTATGGGAGTTACGATCACCATATCGCTAAGACTGTCGTGAGCCTATGTTAAAGTATGGGAGTTACGATCACCATAGCGCTAAGACTGTCGTGAGCCTATGTTAAAGTATGGGAGTTACGATCACCATAGCGCTAAGACTGTCTTGAGCCTATGTTAAAGTATGGGAGTTACGATCACCATAGCGCTAAGACTGTCGTGAGCCTATGTTAAAGTATAAGGAGTCTACGATCACCATAGCATAGCTAAGACTGTCGTGGAGCCTATGTTAAAGTATGGGAGTTTACGATCACCATAGCTTAAGACTGTCGTGAGCCTATGTTAAAGTATGGGAGTTACGATCACCATAGCGTTAAGACTGTCGTGAGCCTATGTTAAAGTATGGGAGTTACGATCACCATAGCGCTAAGACTGTCTTGAGTCTATGTTAAAGTATGGGAGTTACGATCACCATAGAGCTAAGACTGTCTTGAGCCTATGTTAAAGTATGGGAGATTTAACGATCACCATAGCTAAGACTGTCTTGAGCCTATGTTAAAGTATGGGAGTAAAGTATGGGAGTTACGATCACCATAGCGTTAAGACTGTCTTGAGCCTATGTTAAAGTATGGGAGTTACGATCACCATAGCGCTAAGACTGTGGTGAGCCTATGTTAAAGTATGGGAGTTACAATCACCATAGCGTTAAGACTGTCGTGAGCCTATGTTAAAGTATGGGAGATACGATCACCATAGCGCTAAGACTGTCGTGAGCCTATGTTAAAGTATGGGAGTTATGATCACCATACCGCTAAGACTGTCGTAAGACTATGTTAAAGCATGGGAGTTACGATCACCATAGCGCTAAGACTGTCGGGAGCCTATGTTAAAGCATGGGAGTTACGATCACCATACCGCTAAGACTGTCGTAAGTCTATGTTAAAGCATGGGAGTTACGATCACCATACCGCTAAGACTGTCGTAAGTCTATGTTAAAGTATGGGAGTTACGATCACCATAGCACTAAGACTGTCGTAAGTCTATGTTAAAGTATGGGAGTTACGATCACCATAGCGCTAAGACTGTCGTGAGCCTATGTTAAAATATTGGGAGTTACGATCACCATAGCGTTATGATCACTTTGTGAATTGTGATCCTGAACCCTAGAGCCCTGCAAAAACACTGAAATCTGACTCCAAAATACATTCGCTGGATTCATATTAAGTCAAATTTTCTCAGTTTCAACCAACTTTCAATCATGGAATTAACACCAGTGTCTCAAACAAATGACAATTTTCTTTATATCTGAAACACTGACCATGAATGCGCATTCTCACAGACCAGCTATGTAATTGGTCACATGCAAGGGTTGCATCTTTTTTTTTTTCCTGTTTTGGTTTCAGAATGTCTGGTTGGGTGCTCAAGACAAACAATTTTTTTTTTAAAAAGTGTCATTTTGTTGGGGGGCGTCCAATGGAAGAATTATTTTCTGTGATTACAAGAAACCCCGAAAGAGTAACAGTTATGAAGAGAGGTAAAACTCAGATTTGATGCCATCAGAGAAATGAGATATTATCAGCAGGAACCAAAGCCAAGTCCACACTCACAGCGAGTGCCACAGAGCCATTTGCTTTTCTGGTTACTATGGTTACAGGCATCCTTATACCTACCTGGTCTCAGGGTTAAACAATGCAAACATATGTTTGTGTGAGAGAAAGCCCCCTTCAATATCTCGCAACCTTAACCCATCAAGGGGCAGCATGTAGCGCTTTTCTCGTTCCTGTTCAAGGGAAGTTACGAAACAACAAAATAAGAGTCTGAAAACAACATCAACAACACTCAAGCTCACAGACATACGTTTTATAAGCGAACAGTTTAGTAAAAATGCTCATGCAGACTGTGCATAAGTTTTCAAAAACATGCACTTGACATTTCCAATAATGAAGACATTTGGAGCAGTGACATTGAATAGTGAAACCCCATTAATCCAGACGATAGCAGTTTCAGATCGGTTATTTTCAAAAACACTGAATAACTTTCATCCAAATTATTCCAAAGATTTATTTTCCAAATTTGGCACTGATTTTAAAGAACGTCCACTGAAAAAGTAATAAAATCGAGGAAATGTTCTTATATGAGGTGTCCCCAGTAAAATCTTTACTTCAATTACTTCCGGGAACCTTATGACAAGGTCATGACTTTAATGTTTTCCTATGAACTGCAAATCTGAATGATTTCCCTGCATATATAATTATATGGATTGGAAGGTTTCACAGTACAAATACACAAGTTTATATTTTTGTATAATTCATGCTCTCTACATGTCATAGGCACCGGGAAAGACAAATATGAAACAAGCACAAACGCATGTGCATTTTTGTAAACTGTTCCCGAACAAACGGGACCTCTTGGTTGGAGGGCCGGTTCTAGATCTAAACGTCTGTATGTTATGAGAAGAAGCGGTTCTACCTGGAATCAGGATTGAAGAGGGCAAAAGGAAATTTCTTGGACATAAATCCTGCCTCAAGGTCTCGAATCTTCAAATTGTCCAGGTTTAACATATACTTCTTATCTTTCTCCTAAAATACAAGCATGTGATGTCACAACATGGCTGTCATGCTGACATCTCCCACAGTGCACCAGAACAGGAAGTGAAACAACACAGAAAGCTGGGGAGGAAAAAGCCTCGGAATGAACTCAAAGAAAACATGACGAAAAATAGTACCTATATCGTCAAAACCACATATATATATATTTGAAATTGAAGGTCAAACGGTTTCAACAACCGTACATTACATCAATTATGATTTGATGTCAAGGTCAAACTTTCCCCAAGGTCAGATTCCAGACAGTAAGCCCATCTGACCAAAGCAGGTTCCAGATTTTTCAGATGATAAAAGAACACATTAAGTTCAGAAATATAAACAGAGTAAACACAATTACGATTAGTTTTTATGTTTCGTCAAGTTTTCAATATTGAATGCAATTCCTGAAGTCATTGGTGGAAGATTTGCTCATGCAATGCAGGCTGCCTCCCTCGTTTTGTGCAAAGGAAAGCACAAGGACACTAAAGAAATATACATGTATATACATCCGAAGACAACCAGAATTTCCACCATATGAAAGATAAACAATATTTAAATTGAATCGTATTAAGCAAGTGCGTCAGGACAGAACGATTTTTCCTTTAAGGGAAGAATTACTTGCATTTTGTGTTTTGCTTTTGAATCATCAAAATGGGGGGCAGATGTTTTCACTTCTTCAAGGCATCAATGGCCTTGACCTTGACCTTGATCCAAACTACCGATATTTAAATATCAAACTGGTTCAACAATTTTCAGAATGAGGCTAATTCTAAAATGAGACATGAGCAATCGGTGTCTGTATCTATCTTTCATTTAACGATGAACAAACCAGTTGCTTGTCCACCAGGCCACCACAGCATGCTCTAACAGGTGTATACCAATCATGCAAGCTAGTACGGAATTATTACAACGCAACACACGTAGAGAGAACGAAAAGTTACAAGGGCATGATTAGAACAGATAACGTCTACAGCAGAATCGCATGCTAAATTTAGCATGACAATATTCAGGGCAAAATGGTGAGAAATGGCGCCCATCTAAAATGATATACCTAGCATCAGTATTGAAAAGAGCGAATGTGGGGTGGCGGGAAAATATCCCCCCGTCGACATCGCGCAGTTTCAGGTTGTCCAGCGGGAGCATATATTTCTTTTCTTTTTCCTGAAAGGAAGTCGGGAGTGAAGTCAAGGGGGATAACTCCCACATGGAGTCCAGCAGGATATGAGAATGTGTGAGGAACGGTGACAATGGATGGGACACAATCATGGGTCATATATTGTGACAATATCCAAAAATATTGTTTGAATAAACAAATGATACACCCCCACACACAAAAAATTATTACCAAATTCACTTTCCCTATCTCTCAGCTATCCCCTTTTAATTTAATTGACAATTCACATGCAAAAAGAAGATTTAAAGCATACAGTTACATTGAAAATTGGTCGCCATTTGCTTATTTGATTCACTCGACAAATTCTTTGAGTGGACGCAATTTGTTAACCCCAAAATTTAATGTCTTTAAAAAAAAAGGATATCATGTTTGTAATTCAATTTTTACAATTTTCATATATATTTTAAACTTTAAAAATAAAATCCCACAAATCTGACGCTTTTGATTAATACTTTTTGTCTCTTGCATTTTGATATGCTGATACAGAATATGCCAAGAATCTTTTTAAAAAACAAATACAAAAAAATCATATTTCCCCCCAAAAATAAGCTTTTATGACCCATGAAAGAAGCAGTGGAAGCTTGAATGCTGTGAAATCTTTGAAATGTCAAAACACGCTGCTACTCTTGGAATGGGGATTCTGTGATCAGAGAAAAGATCGAGACAAACAGAAAACTAACTTCAAGAAAGAACAAGACAGAAATGATTTTTTCCATATCAAAGAAATATCTTTAGATACATATATCAGATATATATATGTGTATATACTGAACAAAATAAGTTACAGAACATAAATACATTCAGGGATATTTTTGGCAGTAAATACTGAACACACAATTTCATACAAATATCCCCAAAAATATTCATGATCCCTATCTTTTGTTGTTCAGTATAGGTATAATATAAGTATGATATTTTCAACATGCATCCTTTTCCAAATTCAGCCATATTGTAGCACCAGCTGCAAATTACTTCTAGATAGTAACTTTATAAAGATCTATGCAAGATTTCAAACCATCAGGGAATATTGAAGCACGGAAAATGGCAGGGAAAGAATTAGTTCAACACACAGTTAGTGAAAACATACAAAAAATTGGCTACACACATGTGCAAACACAAACTCTAAAATTAATAAAAAAATGTAATTTTTGGAGTAAAATTGATATTTTATACTTATCCTGACTCATGCTCTTTTTGCTTGTCTTCTTCTTCTTGCGAACATAGTGGAACACTTGTATCTCCCTAATTGAAGCTCCCTTCAATTTAAAATCACTAATTAGTATTCACCACGAGTTACCTCCTTTTCTCACAAGCTGGGAACGAGGGCTTCACCTCTACCCATGTGCCTCACTCTCTCCTCATATACTGAGCCCAACATTTGAATTTACAGGGAAATCCAAAGTGTTATTTGGGAGGATGGGAGGGCTGACCTCATGAGTCAGGATAAGTATAAAATATCAATTTTACTCCAAAAATTACATATTTTTCCTTATCCTGACTCATGCTCTTTTGCTTGTAGCATCCCTAATGAACGGAGGTGGGAATATCTAATACTTTGGATTTTTAATAATTAGTGATTTGAACTGTGATGATTGTAATAACCCTATGGGAACTTCATAAAGGCACTGAACTGATGAATTCCTGCTGCTAACTTATCAGCTGCCATATAAAGGTTATTATCATGTACTTATTATGATAAAGTATATATAACATTAATACAATGCTTAAGACTAATAGACTTAAGCTTGTTAATATGCTAGTATAAACTCCTTAGAGTTTGTTAGCTAAAATACTTTAAGATATAACATAGTACTAAGCTTAAGATATGATTAAACTTAAGCTAATTATATAATAGCAAACTCTTTAGAGTTTGTTAGTTAATATACTTATATGATATAGATATAATGCTGAGCTTAAGATATGAATAAGCTTTAGCTACATATATAATAGCAAAAACTCTGTAGAGTTTGTTAGCTAATATATTTTATAATATGAGTATAGTACTGTGCTTAAGCTATAATTAACTTAAGCTACATATATAATAGCCAAACTCTGTAGAGTTTGTTAGCTAATATATTTTATAATATGAGTATAGTACTGTGCTTAAGCTATAATTAACTTAAGCTACATATATAATAGCCAAACTCTGTAGAGTTTGTTAGCTAATATATATTTATAATATTAGTATAGTACTGAGCTTAAGATATAATTAACTTAAGCTACATATATATAGCAAAACTCTGTAGGGTTAGCTAATATGTTTATAGTGTAACCATAGTACTAAGCTTAAGATTAGACTTAAGCTAAAAGTATATAGCAAAATAAACTCCTTAGAGTTTATTAACTAATATACTTTTTATGTTAAAAACATAGTACTGAGCTTAAGTTATGATGAAACTTAAGCTATATATATATAATAACAAAACTCCGTCGAGTTTTGTTAGCTAATACCTTTATAATGTAAACATACTGCTTAAGATATGATGAAACTTAAGCTAATTGTATAATAGCGAAAACAACCCTTTTAGAGTTTGTTAGCTATGATATAAACCTAGTATTGAGCTTATGAAGGAAAACTTAAGCTACATATATAATAGCAAGAACTCCAGTAGAGTTTGTTAGCTAATACATGTTATAATGTAACCATAAAGCTTAAAATATGATGAAACTTAAGCAAAATATATAATAGCAAAACCCTCTTTTAGAGTTTTGATAGCTAATATACCTATATGATATAAACATAGTACTGGCGCTTAAGATATGAATAAGCTTAAGTTACATATATAATAGCTAAAACTCTGTAGAGTTTGTTAGCTAATACATGTTATAATATAACCATATTGCTTAGAAATATGATGATACTTATAGCAAAAACTCTTTAGAGTTTGTTAGCTAATCTACTTATATGATATAAACATAGTACTAAGCTTAAGATATGAATAAGCTTAAGCTACCTATATAATAGCAAAACTCCTTAGAGTTTGTTAGCCAATATATTTTAATAATATGAGTATAGTACTATGCTTAAGGTATAATTAGCTTAAGTTACCTATATAATAGTAAAACTCCCAGAGTTTGTTAGCTTAATTAACTTAAGCTATGTATAAAATAGCCAAAAACTCTGTAGAGTTTGTTAGCTAATGCATTTATCATGTAACCATAGTATTACTCTTAAGATATGAATAACTTAAGGTAAATATATATAATAACAAACTCTGTAGAGTTGTTAACTTATATATTGTATGATGTAATAATCATAGTACTGTGATGATAAAAGGAACTTAAGTAAATTATACATAGCATGAAGCTATTTAGTATTGTTATAAGATAAGTAAAAATCTGTTAGATTGACTTATCTTCTCCGAGGAACTGTCAGCTGTTGTGAGAGGACCATGGGATCGAATTGGTGTATACCTGAGACGCCCCTCGGTGGTGATATCTCTCAGATAATGGTTTGCAACCACCATATCGGATTTCCAGAAATAACCCTCCATTATTTCAATCACATTTGTGTAGAACAATTGTAGAAGTTAAGCTTATAATATCATGAGTATTAAGCTCATGGAGGGTCGGAATAGGTCCATCCGCATATGCACGTTAGTATGACAGTTCTGATCCAAATGGAGATATAGTACATGAGACTTCACTCTGCGTAAGTTGATGATAGAGGAAATAATCTGTTGCATTTTTCCTCCTGTTTGGTTTGGTGGAGATAAATTTACAGTGCTCTTGCTGGCCAACTTGATAGAATCATCGCGATCATGGGGTCCAAGTATGTCATCCAGGCGTGTTCATAAACCTCACTTGTGAGGTGTTGAGC